TTTTATCCACTTCTCCGAGGCTATGGGTCCCACAATTTACACCAGAGGTGGACCCTATATATATATATATATATATATATATATATATATTTTATATATATATATATATATATATATATATATATATATATATATATTATATATTATATATATATATATATATATGAACATTTGAAGTACTTCCTAATAATTGGCTCCTCATGCCTGAAACCTCAGTTCAGCAATATTTTGAAAATAAAAACTAATTCCATCCTTCCCATTAATCTTGTACAAATTAATCTTGTTCCAGCTTGTGTCATCTGCAGCTCAGTAATTGATTATACTGTCACAGTATTGGCTTATGTTTGATTTTCTTATTCATTGTATATCATTTCTCAGTATAAACAAGGTAATGTTTCTTTGTAAGTATCACATTTCACTTTTGTTCTGAATCATATCATGATGTTTACTAAAAGAATCCAAATAAAACTTATTCATTCATTTAAATTTTATTCATTCATTTATATTTATTTATAAGACTGATTTGTTCTTAGGCTCGCGAAAATGTATAAAATATATATTGTGGCCCTCGTAGTGAAAAGTTTAGAGACCCTTGAACCAGCCTTTTTGGCTGCAAAATATAAATCTTCCAAAAAATCTTTCCCCTGGAAAGAAGATAATGATCCTGTGATAAAGTCATGCCTTTTTTTTTAATTTAGATTCGATGTTTAATGAAGTATTACCCCGACGGTACACGGGGAAGACAATTTTGGAAACAAGAACAGCCAGACTGATCATAGTTTGGCATAACAGTTAGACTGTAAATTGAAGAAATATTCCCGTCTAGGACAGCATTTCCCTCAGCCTCATTTTCCATTTAACATTAAGCAAAATTAAAATACCATCTTGGCCTCTGAGATTTTGTATTCATTGAACCTTCTGGTGAGATTAAATGTGGTGTTGGGAATGATTTAAACTTTGAGCCAAATGCATTTCGCCAAAGTTAAATTAATTTTCTTTTACGATAATGATGATGGTTGTGAGGAGTCTTCCTCAGCACAGGTGGAACCTAGTTTGGGGTCACTCTTTCTAAATAAAAATATCTTTTTCATGAGTATTTTTTTTATTGATTTTTGCCTCACGAGGTTGTTAGTTTACTGTGAACCCTTCATCCAGCTTGTGGACGAAAGTCAAATTTTGAGCATATGGATACATAAGCAAATAACAGGCACATAGGTGAGTGAAACTTAAAACGACGTTTCGGTCCGACTTGTTAATGGTCCAAGTCGGACCGAAACGTCGTCATACGTTTCTTCCCTTATGTGCGGGTTATTTGTGTTTTGTGGCTTTTTATTCTTTTTAGAAATTAAACTTTAAGAGAGTTAAAAGGGGACACGTTTTGGGAACATATTATTTGCAGGTTTTGTTGTTATCTTCTCTAAGCTAATATATTTCACTTGCTCAATCTATCTGGTATATTTGTTCCCCAACAAGATACATCGACATATATTGATTATTGTGCTATCTACCTCAAAGTGAACAATCAAGCAGCCAGTGTTAGAAAAAAGTGACCATAAGGATGGCTAAACACTTTACACTTAATCTTTTTGGTCATCTATGTATTAGCCAAACTTTCAGAAGTGTTTACCACGCCTAAGTCTGGCTGTTACAAAATCGTTCAGTCTGTTGACATTACAACTTGCTCCGTAAATGGGCTTATCGATGTTCATGTTATCATACTGGATTATAGATCTATTCAGACTTCAAACTGTATTCGCCTGAAATTCCACTTCCTTTTTTCTTCTTCCTTCTGTTTTTGTCCTATCCCTGCCTTCCTATCATGTATGTGTCTATATATATAGAGATCAGCAATGGGATCAGGCAATCCTCCCAGTACGACTGGGAGATATAGGGGTACGCAAAGCAACGCATGTTGCTTTACCTGCTTTTCTGTCTTCGTGTTTGGCTTCCAGTGCATTAGTCAAGAAGATTTTCCCGAACGCTTGAGAGACATGGTAGGTGCTCAAGACCCCAGGTTTACTGAAGCAGCGATTCGGTGGGACACCCTTACAGATTCCTCCAGTAGACCAGCTCCTCCCAAAGAACACATACAGTCCCACTGGGACAAACTGATCATGGAAAAAATCGCCAACACAATGCTCTCCAACGCCTCAGGAAAGGACAAAGCTCGTCTCCTGGCAGTGAAGGCACCACACTCAGGAGATTTCCTGTTTGCTGTTCCCAATTCCTCCTTGTGCACTCGACTAGACCCACAGGCTATTCGGATTGGTGTTGCTCTTCGCCTAGCCGCCCCCATCCTCACCGAACATAGGTGTATTTGCGGCAGGGCGACAGCTGATCAATTCGGACTTCATGGTCTCGTGTGTCACACAGCAGAAGGGAAGTATGCCAGGCATGAGGAGGTCAATGACATCATAAAGAGAAGCCTTGCCACAGCCCGTTGCCCAGCTCAACGGGAACCCCAAGTGCAGAGGTCTGACGGAAGTCTAAAGCGTCCTGATGGAGCCACTATGCTACCTTGGAAGGATGGAAAGCAGATTGCCTGGGACTACACATGCGCCGCCACATTGGCAGACACCTACTTGCCATACTCCGTAGTGGAAGGGGGTGGAGCTGCCAGCCACAGGGAGACTCAGAAGACCCGCAAATATGAAGACCTTCCCCCTTGCTATAACTTCATCCCAATAGGGTCTGAGACCCTTGGAGCGTGGGGCAAGTGTGCTCTAAAGTTCCTAATAGAGCTGGGTGAAAAGCTCATCATAGAAACAAAGGACCACAGGGCGACCAGCTTCCTCTTTCAGAGACTCAGTGTTGCGATCCAGAGAGGAAATGCCTGCAGCATTCTGGGCACGCGGCCCACCGCCGGGGAGCTGGACGAAGTATTCGAGATGTAGCCCTGAGTTACCTATGTTGTTTTACTTTGTATCGTATTTTTGTGAATGTTTTGTCAATGTATTTTGTCTTTAAATAAATATATATATATATATATATATATATATAATATATATATATATATATATATATATATATATAATATATATATATATATATATATATATATATATATAGGGGGTGGTAGGAGAAAATTCTCAAACAGCTTCAGGGAGAATCTTGAGTTTTCCCTGAAGCAAGTTTATTCTTTTCTCTGAGGATGAGGGTCCCTATATATATTTTTAATAAATATATATAATATATATATATATATATATATATATATATAATATATATATATATATATATATAAATATATATATATATATTATATATATATACTAGTTCCCTTACCTTCGTGTGTTAGGGTAATTAGTTAATGGTCCAAATCAAACCTAAATGTCGTCATAAGTTTAACCTACGAACGGGTTATCTGTGTATTCAAATTCACTATTTATTTACAAACTATACCACGGGTGGGGATAGAACCCGCGATCAGAGAGTCATAAAACTCCAGACCGACGCGTTAGCCACTGGGCCAGCTGGAGTGTTATGACTCTGATCGCGGGTTCTATCCCTGCTCGTGGTATAGTTTGTTTGCAAACATGTCATTACGATTTCGTGAGTCACTATTTATTTCTCGTCTAACAGTGTTGCCAGTACCTGATACAAAGCTATGGAAATATAAACACATATGCAGTATAATGATCCTTTATTGACAACGTTTCACCCACACAGTGGGCTTTTTCAAGTCACAAACAGTGTGGGCGAAACGTTGTCAGCAAAGGATCACATTATACTGCACATGTGTTTATATTTCCATTGCGTCTGTATTTTATACCATTTATTTACACAGACAAAGCTATATTGGACTTCTTTCAAAGTAATATCTCTGGTTATTTAATGATTGATTTTTTTTATGTACAATCCTTACGAATTGTGTGTAAAATAATATTTTCTATGACTTTTTTATATTAATGTTTGGCCTTCTCCGAGGAGCATGTTAGCCATTAGACGAGTCGAATACATTCAGTAATGACAGAATTATTACTGATCAGTGAGTCAATCACGTTGTCATAAGTAAACTTTAGTAACATCTCGGTTAGTCTTATACCCCTTAAAGAATATCTTATCATTTCACGTACACTTTTTAAATTACACCAAAGTGGTTGGGCCACTTACCTTTTATATCCTACCTCTCTCCCCCTCCCACCCTTTTCCAAAATTTCTATCCTTACCCATCCATCTTCCTTACCTATCTCACCAAAGCTCTGGTCTGGACAAGAACAAGGTCATTAAGAACATAAGAACAAAAGAAGGATCACTGCAGCAGGCCTACTGGTCCATGCGAAGCAGGTCCAATTCACCCACCGGCTTAAGCCAATTCCTTAAGGTAGTCAAGTCAGGTCACATCCCCTAAGGAAGAAGCACGGCAACTGACCTAGTAGACAAGTTAGTCAGGTCCAACTCACACCCACCCACACCCACTCATGCATTTATCTAACCTATTTTTAAAACTACACAACGTCTTAGCTTCTATGACGGTACTCGGGAGTTTGTTCCACTCATCCACAACTCTATTACCAAACCAGTGCTTTCCTATATCCTTCCTGAATCTGAATTTTTCCAACTTCGCAAACAGGTGAATCTTAGCAATCAGGTGGTCACTAGGTGATAACTAACAAGCAGATGGTCAGTATACAGCTTTTTGGTAATTAGGGGGACCACTAACAGCTGGATCACTAGGTGATCACTACGAAGAGAGGAGCACTGAAGGTAGACCTACTTACCCCTTGCTAGGCAAGTTACTGCAGTACACCACCTAGGGGGCAGTGACCGCTATATGACACTAATAGTCACTGGAAATACGTAGGAGACTGAAGGGAATGTGATCTACATTAGTTTCCAGGACGAATGAACTCTCTGGTGACAAGCAGGTGAGCCAGCTAGAGGCAGGTGACAAACACAGGAAGAAGAGGCAGCTAGGGTAGGAAACAGAGCGAGGAGCAGATGGCAGAGTTAGGTGCCTATTACCGACCTAGGAGGAAAAAAATCATTAGGTAGTTGCTGGTGGGTAGGTGAGATCAGAGTGGCTAGGTGGTTCTAGACTACCTGAGGAGAACCAGCCGAACTCGGCAGCCTGGGGTTCAAGACTACCTGAGGAGAACCAGCTGAACTCAGCAGGCTGGGTGTTCAAGCCTACCTGAGAAGAACCAGCCCAACTCGGCAGACTGGGGTTCAACCCTACCTGAGAAGAACCAGCTGAACTCGGCAGACTGGGGTTCAACCCTACCTGAGAAGAACCAGCTGAACTCGGCAGACTGGGGTTCTAGCCTACCCGATGAGAACCAGTCGAACTCGGCAAGCTTGGGTTCAAGCTTACCTGAGGAGAACCAGCCAAACTCGGCAGGCTGGGGCCAGTCTGCGTGCACGAGCGTCACGTTGGCTGTCCTGTAGTAGACTGAGGAGACCTGCACGTGGCAGGTGAGAACCATGGCCCCGCGAGCCAGCCACTCCTCCGTCACCGTCGCCTGCAGCTCCTGAGGAAGAGACGGACCGTAAGTAACAGTAACATAACAGTCTGGCTCAGTTAATCTCCTGCAGCTTCTGCAGGAGGTTAACGGAGTTACAGAGAGATCAGTAACATAAGTCTGTTCTCGTAACATTCTTCTGCATCACCTAAGGGAGTGACGGAAGGGGGACTGACGGAAGGGGGACTGACGGAAGGGGAAGGGAGTGACGAATGGGGAAGTGACGAACGGGAAAGTGACGGACGGGAAAGTGACGGACGGGGGAAGGGAGTGACGGGGAATGCTTTGCAAAAATACATGAAATACATCAAGAAAGGCGATCAAATGTTAAGACGTTATCGAATATATTAAAATATATTGAAAGTATTAACAGGAAATTTTAAAATATATACTTCACAACACGTTTCAGTCCGCGCTGGATCATTATCAAACTACAATTTGATAATAATACAGGATCGAAACGTCGTCTACTAAAGTTTCCTCAACAAATTTCGAGACGTGAATTTCTGCTGCCACGGTATTGTAAGTCTTGTTCTTCAGCTGTTTTACTACAGAGAAAATGAGGAAGAATAATAACGCCTGGAGAAGACGAAGAAGTTTGGTAACGCATGGGAAACAAAGAAGTTTAGTAACGCCTAGAGAAAATAAAGATTAACAACGCATATAGTAAATTGAAAAAAAATTCCCCTTTGCAACTCTGGTAAATCTTCGGCAGTGATCGTGATCAGCACATAAAACTCGGCTGCAAATTCCGTGAGGAAAACACACGCTTTGGAGGACAAGCTTTTATTAAAGAAATTCTTCACTTGCGTAATGCTTTACTAAACCGTGTAGAAGTGTTCTGCAATGTGAGGCTGTTTGCAGGAGGCCAATTACATGTTGTAAATTATGCGTTAAAAGTGCCAGTTGAAAATTATATGAGTTAGAGAATTGTTTTATCTGCAAATGGTTCCTGTTTTTTGGCCTCGGTAAATGTTGAAGATTGTGAATAGACTTTTTTCTTTTAAAAGTGGAGTGACAGTCCTGACAGAGACGAGAGAACAGTGGGTTCATAGGTGACTAGGCCCAGCAATACCACACTTGTGGCTAAGCTCAGCAATACCAAACGCGTGGCTAGGCTCAGCAACACTACTCATGTGGCATGCCTCAACAACGTTGCACTCGTGTCTAGGCTAAGCAACACCACACTTGTGGCTAGACTTACGTAGAAGCATCACACTTGTGGCTAGTCTCGGCAACTCTACACTTGTGACTTGGCTCAGCAACGTAACACTTGTGGTTAGGCTCAATAGTGGTGATCTTAGTGGAGGTCATGGTATAAGTAGTGGTCATTTTACTGGTAGTGGTTGTGTTGGTGATGGTAGTACTGATTGTGGTAGGTGTCGTGGTAGTGATGATACTAATGGTACGGGTTGTGTAGTGGTATTTGTGTTAGTGATTGGGGCAGTGGTTATGGAATGGCAGTAGTGGACGTGGAAGAGGTAATATTATTTAGTAGTAGTAGTGGTCGTGGTTAGTCATGGTTGTGGCCAAGGTTGTGGTAGTAGTGTATATTATCCTCTGTTATACTTATCCACGTGTCCTCTTGTCGGACAACAGGTCAGAGTTCATTACTGGCCCAATGTAGGCTCTTTACTGAAGGTTTGGCATACACCAAGCGCCTGTAGCTGCACGTCATCCCGCAAGTAACGGGCTTGGCGAACGCACGAATGGCAGAATCCTAGAGATGCTCAGAGTGACTGTCAGTCCGAGTTGTATCACATAGGATGATGCCATTCCAGATGTGCAGAGTAAAACAACGATTGGTGATACAGCTCATTTTGTATTGTTCGGCAAAGAGAAGCGTTTACCTCTCGAAATTCTTCTTGCTCGGCCTCAACCTGTCTATGATCCTGACAATTTCACTACTACTAAGATGCGGACTTCTTAGTTTGTCTATCAGAGATTACGGAAAAAAATTAAGACACGTTTAATGCTACTCGTAATGCCATTGCTGAGGAGAAAAGGCGGTACCAGGATGCAAAATCATATTGCGAAATCCCACTCAAGATCCTGGTAAGTGTAAACTTGTTCTCAAATTTGTTGGCCCTTACCATGTCCTCAGACAGCGTCACGACAACAAATTCGAGGTGAGGGAGACTGCCACTGGTGCGACTAAGGAAGTTCACCTAGACCACATTAAGTACATTGACAATGTTCAAGCTGAAGCCGAGTTGGAGGAATTGGCGTTGTCACAGCCTAATCAAACTGATACTAGTGACAGCCTTTCTACTACTACTACTTCTGCTGACACAGTCGTTGGCAGCCGCCCTGTCCAGCCACATTCTTACGGTCTGTGACCAAGGACAACAGCACATTTTTTGTGACAATGACAAACCCACTAACTACACAGATTCCTAAAGTGTCTACACACACTGATTCTCGCTGAAATTGGCATCATCGGTCATAAGCCTAACAATTAGTTATCGCTCACATGAATGTACGTATGTATATATGTGTACGCCCATTGTATTTTCCCTGCAAGTTCTGTAAGTATAAACTTCTGCCTCTCGGGCAACGTGCACCATACAGTCTCTATCATAGGCCAGAGCAATATTGCCTTTGTGCCACATGTCACACCCTAGGAAATGCTACTGCCAGTCATTGCTTTACAGATGCGCAGGTGGATCAATGTCTCTCAACGTGAAACAACACCTGTTGTCCTGTACAACCCAGCAAACAAGCCTATAGAGAGAAGGTTATGCTTTCGGGCTGTCTTGACGTCCACCTGCAACATCCGTCGCCATCTCCGTCAGTAGTCCATCCCGTTTTTCTCTTCTGTGGCCATCATTGGAGAGCTTTTTTTTTTAGGACCCCCAGTTTAGCTACCATTTCTGGTGTTAAGGGTAAGCCTGAGCTACGCTCCACAGGAGCTTTTCAGTTGACACTTGTTGCATGCCAGTGCTGTCGTGTCGGGACCACCCAAGAAGCATAGCTGAGTGATGTAACCAGGTTCCATTTCCATTTCACAGTTCTCGCCAAGGCACGACCCCTGTGTATTTGAGAATGAAACCCTCGTGCCGATGAGATATAGCACGGACTATTATTCATTGGCTCTCCCTTACTCCATAGGGCCTGGCTCTGGCTACTTCTACACTCTACCTAGTGTAACTCACATAGCCAATAAATTGCTATCTAGTCAGCCGTAACTTTCTTGTATCCTGCCCATCTCCTACACGCCAGTTACCAAGCTAATCACACCTGCAGCAACGGACAAAGCGAACTATCCACATCAGCGCTACTGAAGCATTTTAGTACACTAGTGGTGGTGTCAGTAGTAGCAATAGTGGTGGCAGCGGTCATACTGGAAGTAGTGGTCGTGGTTGTTGTCTTGGTAGCAGTGATAGTTATGGTAACTGTGGTAGTAGTCGTCGTAGTTGCAGTCGTAAAATTTGTTATAGTAAAAGTAGTAGCAGTCGTGTAAGTAGTAGTGATGGGGATAGTAGTAGTAGTAGTAATGGTCATGCTAGGGGTGTACATACTGGTAATGGAAGTAATGATCTTGTTAGGGAGTAGTAGTAGTAGTTGTAGTAATAATAGTAGTGATCGGGATAGTAGTTATCGTCATGGTAAAAACGGTCGTTGTAGTGGTCGTAGTAGCCGTAGTAGTCGTGGTAGTTCTAGTCGAGATAGTGGTAATATTAGTTGTAGCGGTAGTCGTTGTGGTAGTTGTAGCAAGATTTACAACTACCATAACGACTACCCCTACAACTAATATTACCACTATCTCGATTAGAACTACCACGACTACTGCTACCACGACCACTACAACGACCGTTATGGTGAGTATGATGAGTCGTCACAATGTAGCGTCCAGGATGGTGAGTCAAGACAACGTAGCGTCCAGAATGGTGAGTCAAGACAACGTAGCGTCCAGGATGGTGAGGCAAGACAACGTAGCGTCCAGGATCGTAAGTCAACACAACGTAGCGTCCAGTATGGTGAGACAATACAATGTAGCGTCCAGGATGGTGAGTCAAGACAACGTAGCGTCCAGGATGATGAGTCCAGACAGCGTAGAGTTCAGGAAAGTGAGTCAACACAACGTAACGTCCAGGATGGTGAGTCAAGACAACGTAGCGTCCAGAATGATGAGCCCAGACAGCGTAGCATCCAGGAATGTAAATCAAGACAACGTAGCTTCCAGGATGATGAATCCAGACAACGTAGAGTCCAGGATGATGCGTCCAGACAACGTAGCGTTCAGGATGGTGAGTCCAGACAACGTAGCGTCCAGGATGGTGAGTCCAGACAACGTTGCGTCCAGGATGGTGAGTCAAGACAACGTAGCGTTCAGGATAACGAGTTCAGACAACGTAGCGTCCAGGATGGTGAGTCCAGACAGCGTAGCGTCCAGGAAGGTGAGTCAACACAACGTAGAGTCCAGGAAGGTGAGTCCAGACAACGTAGTGTCCAGGATGGTAAATCAAGACAACGTAGCTTCCAGGATGATGAGTCCAGACAACGTAGCGTCCAGGATGATGAGTCCAGACAACGTAGCGTCCAGGAAGATGAGTCTAGACAACGTAGCGTTCAGGATAATGAGTCCAGACAACGTAGCATCCAGGATGATGAGTCCAGACAACGTAGCGTTCAGGATGGTGAGTACAGACAACGTAGCGTCCAGGATGATGAGTCAAGACAACGTAGTGTCCAGGATGATGAGTCAAGACAACGTAGTGTCCAGGATGATGAGTCCAGACAATGGTGCGTCCAGGATGGTGAGTCAAGAAAACGTAGCGTCCAGGATGGCGATTCCAGACAACGTAGAGCCCAGGATGGTGAGTCAAGACAACGTAGCGTCCAGTATGGTGAGTCAAGACAACATACGTCCTGGATGGTGAGTTAAGACAACGTTGCGTCCAAGATGGTGAGTCCAAACAACGTTGCGTCTAGGATGGTGAGTCCAGACAACGTTGCGTCCAGGATGGTGAGTCCAGACAATGTAGCATCTAGGATGGTGAGTCCAGACAACGTTTCGTCCAGGATGGTGAGTCAAGACAACGTAGCGTTCAGGATGGTGAGTCCAGACAACGTTGCGTCCAGGATGATGAGTCAAAGCAATGTAGCGTCCAGGATGGTGAGTCAAGACAACGTAGCGTCTAGGTATGATGAGTCCAGACAACGTAGCGTCCAGGATAGTGAGTCCAGACAACGTAGCGTCCAGGATAGTGAGTCCAGACAACGTTGGGTCCAGGATGGTGAGTCCAGACAACGTAGCGTCCAGGATAGTGAGTCCAGACAACGTAACGTCCAGGATAGTGAGTCCAGACAACGTTGCGTCCAGGTATGGTGAGTCAAGACAATGGCTACTTACGGAGACTTGAACGCGTTCTCCCCGCCGGTCCATCTGCAAGGACCGGTGGTGGGCCAGGGGCGGCGCTTCCTCCCAGTTGATGGTCCAGTATATATCTGCGGGTGGGTCAGAGTGACCCCTCTGGCAGCGGGCAACCACCACCTCTCGGCCGCCACCTCTCGTTCTGGGCCACCCCACACCTCGGGGTCCCCACATGGCACGATCTGGCTACACAGCGTTGTCAACATAACAGCCAGTGGGAGGACAAATAAAGACTATCTATAATTGACCGGTCCATTTGTAAGATACTTATGATTATTTAATTCATATAACTTATATTATTATTCATTATTTCTATTTTATTATTATTATTAATTGCTATAACTATGAATTATAATTTTTTACATTCTATCTTTATACATAATTTCGCTGACCTAGCGCTATTTAGCAGCCCTATAGCACCCAGGATAAGGGACTGCTCCAGCTCCTGATACTGATCCCTTACCATGTTGACTATGTGTCAGGTGGAACCTGAGGCGGCTTTAGCACAAGACCTTAGAGCTGTGGCCCACAATTCCACCTTTGTCGCTGGACTACTGTGGTTCCAATGAGGATCGGTTCGCCACTCCGTTTAAGAGTGACCCACAAGTTCCTTGGTTTTCCTGGATCTGAGTTCCTTCACGTTCCCGGCCATTGTGTCAAAACCTCCCCTCCTTGCTCAAACATACCCTACGTCTGAATGTAAATAACGTTAGTATCATATAAATAAATAATTATAATACTAATAATAATAATAATAATAATAATAATAATAATAATAATAATAATAAATAAAAAAATAAAATAAGAAGAAGAAGAAGAAAAGAAGAAGAAAAGAAGAAATTTTTAAACATATAAAAGATCATGATAAAATAATTTATTATTATTATTATTATCATTATATCATCATTCATAATATTAATGAGGAGAAGAACTGTGTAATAGAATAATTATTTTTATTTTTTTCTCATTTAACTATCTGTGTTTTTCTTTATTTTTTGTTGATATCTCTAGTTTTTCTATATTCGAATATGAAACTAAATGAACTGGAAGTGGAATGTTGTGTGTCTTATTATCATCTTCTCTCCTCTCTCTCTCCTCTCTCTCTCTCTCTCTCTCTCTCTCTCTCTCTCTCTCTCTCTCTCTCTCTCTCTTCTCTCCTCTCTCTCTCTCTCTCTCTCTCTCTCTCCTCCTCTCTCCCCTCCTCTCACCCACCACACCTCCACTCACGCCACCCTCCCTCTCATACCTCATCATCTGCCATATCTTTCTCTGCTCTCCTCCCTTCTCTCTCTAGTACCACACCCTACTCCTCTCTCACCCACACCCCTCACTCCCCCCTCATTCCTTCTCTCCTCCTACCTCTCACTCTCTCCTCTCTCTCTCTCCACTCTCTCTCCCTCTGGCTCATGCTCTTCCCAGCACACGAGCCTGTAGCACTCATAAACTGGGCAGTAGTGAGTCTCGACCCTCAACACATATACACACACACACACACTCACTCACACACACACACACACACACGCCGACACCACCACACACCACCACCGCACAACGGTCCCATCCACACACCTACACACAGCCATGTGAATCGACCTGCACCTCTAGTGGTCCCCCCCCTCATCACTACCGACCACCGTCATGATGACGGTGTGGTCGTCTCTCACTCACCTACCACCGTCATGATGACGGTGTGGTCGTCTCTCACTCACCTACCACCGTCATGATGACGGTGTGGTCGTCTCTCACTCACCTACCACCGTCATGATGACGGTGTGGTCGTCTCTCACTCACCGACCACCGTCATGTTGACGGTGTGGTCGTCTCTCACTCACCGACCACCGTCATGTTGACGGTGTGGTCGTCTCTCACTCACCGACCACCGTCATGTTGACGTTGGTCGTCTCTCACTCACCGACCACCGTCATGTTGACGGTGTGGTCGTCTCTCGACTCACCGACCACCGTCATGTTGACGGTGTGGTCGTGTCTCACTCACCACCACCGTCATGTTGACGGTGTGGATCGTCTCTCACTCACCGACCACCGTCATGTTGACGAATGTGGTCGTTCTCACTCACCGACCACCGTCATGTTGACGGCGTGGTCGTCTCGTATCTCGAAGAAGGTTGGTCGCTCCATCACCTCGCACGTGAATGTTGCACCGATGTCCTCCACTCACCTTACGTCAGCGTATGAGACTCGTGTGAGCTCGGTCTCTCACTCGCGGGAGAAAAGTCATTATTGACGTGTGGTCGTCTCTGCGATTCACGACACGTACATGTCGAGGTTGTGTCCTCCTCAGCGACCAAGCCTATGCTTACGTTGTACACATTATGTACTACCACCTCCGTGTGGACGGTCAGATGGCGTTCACTCCGAAGATGGTTATCAGTGTAGTCTTGATCGTAAAGTGCCATATATGCGACACTTTCGTACGTACATTGTTAGGAAACGTTTCCCTCGAGATAAGTCATTCTTCTGGGTCTCCTTAGACACAGATGCATCTCACGGTAAAGCTGTAATCACATTAAAAGGTAAATATGCTTACACTGTGTAGTGGTCATGAGACGTTAAGGTGTATCCATGGTGCAGTGTTGTTCTAACATAACCGTCGTGTTAATAGTATAGAAACGTTTGGCCAGGGTTTTCAGACTATTAGAGATGCTGAATCATTAAGGTTGGTATGTGTAGGTCGGCTGTGTTCCTATCGTTGCTTGTTCCAGACGGTGATCTGGTCAAAATCGTTTTATGGCCATTTTACTTTGGATTACTCTGGTTGATCGCTGATTTTGATCGTTCCGTCTGCAGGTGTTTTGGTATTCTCGAATGTCTGGTTCATAGTGATTCTTGATGTTTTGCCAATCCTCTCTCAAGGTTATGATATATCACACCAGCCTTGTTGGTGGCATTATCTGTGTTGATCTAATTTTTCGCGGTCTTTGAATTTCGAGGCGTTGGTGACTCCTTTCATATGCCCATCCGTCATTAGCAACGGTACACTACGCTCCACCTTACTTACTGATAAAACAATGTATTTGGAGAGCGCATCTGTTGCGTTGTCAATGTTTCTGTTAAGATAAGCGTAGCTCTATTTCTGCAATCGTGGTGCTGATGCTATTTAAAGAACATGTATTCACATTCTTCTAAGTACTGTGGACAGAAGATCCTGAAAGTCCTAAGGAAATATTCTCTTACAACCGCTCTCTTAGTCTTTTTGTCATGATGGGAATAAAAGTGCATTAAGTTATTTTTATTTGTGGGTTTATTGTATACTTGAAATGGAAGCCTCTCTCTTCCTGTGTGGGGTAATACATAGAGAAATGATAAGCGGGTGTGTGTCCTCTCTTCTGATGTGAATATAATGGTTGGTTCTAGATTATTAATAGTATTCAAGATGCTCTGTGGAACTCGGAGCAGTCATCTCTACGTGGGGAGTTCTGGGCATTCTGGATGACTGTGGGAAATCAGTCACAGAAAGTAGCTCAAAGTTGTTCACAGTATGGGCAAAATATACGTGTAAGGGATTAAACTTAATTAATTATCATTCCACAGGCGTTGTGTAATTCATAGGAGTTTAGTGCTACCAGAAAACGAAATAATCGGTACAATTACCAGGATATCATCTACGTAGAGCAACCAGCTAACAGTATTATGAATGTTGAATAAGATGCGGGTGGACTTCAGTACAAATTAGCTAGGACCCCACTAATAGGTGACCTCACAGCTAAGCCAAATTGCTTAATGTGTTCCTCGAATATAATAGTTAAAATCTGCGCAAAGTTCTGCCAGGTCAATAAAATCTTGGCTCGATGTGAGGAGTCCAAATCATCATTTACTTTACGGAGGATGAGATCTAAAGCTTGATCTGTGAGCACGTTTGTGAGCAAGGCCGTTACGACAAAACTTGCTAGCTTCTTATTCTTGATATTGTAATCCCTAACGCGATATAAAAGACCTGAATGTTGTAAATGTGCTTTGTTGATCTTTCCTAGCAGCTTGGCAAGATTCTTAGCTAAGATTTCTGCCAGTCTGTGAGAGGCACGGCCAATCCCTGAGGAGATGGGGCTCAACGGAACATTGGGTTGTTTGGAGCAGGTCATAGAGCCTTGCTGCTTTAGTGTTGTTGGGAAGTAAGTGTAAAAGTTTCTTGCCCCTCTCCGTTTTCCTAAGAATGGTACGAGCATTTTTGAAAAAGGAATCTGTCGCATCCTTCCGTTGATGTTCCGGAATGCTTATATATGTAGTAGCGTCGTCAAGTGAGCCCTTTAATTCATCAATGTAATCCACATGATTCAACATGACCACACTTCCCCGTCTGCCAGCTGTAGCTAAAAGTATGTTGTCGATTGCGGCTAGGTTCTTGAGTGCAGCAATGCAGCGTCGTGAAATGATGGATTGGATAGGTTCTGAGATAGCAGCAATGATCATACCTTGCATGAACCCTTTATGGAACTCGCCATGTCGGATGTTTTGGTTTTGATAATGTCTAATTCGAGGTTAGGTTTATCGATACCTGTAACTAGTGTTAAGTTCTAGACTGAGAGCTCTTCCGGTGTCACTCCATGTGTGGCAAGTTTCCCTGGGATGAGTACCTTGCAAATAATGATTTCTGGTATAAGGCTATATGGTTCTGGCAGGTTAATTACCACTTGTGACTTGTTGCCTTGCTGATTTATCCCCATTTATGCAATCTGCTGGGTTTTTTTTTTTTTAGTGAGCCGTTCCACGATCCGGAAGATAAATGTATCACTCTAGTGAGCTGCCATTTTTGTTTCTCTGATTTATTTTATATATGGAATCCAGTCAATAACCTAAAGATAAAGAAGAACAGTACAGAGTCCTAATGCTTCCACATAGTCTTATTCTGCTCTACAGGAACTACCATACCATCTGAATTCCCTCAGGTTAAAATAGTTTAATTTCTTTCCTAGAGTAAATACACTCAGTCATATTGCATACATACAGGATAAACTGAGTCTTATTTCCTTGTCACAGGATGTTTTGCTGTCCAGCAGAGGATATAGAATATTACAGGTTCTTAACAAAAAAATCTCAACTTTACTGGAGAAGGTAAGATTTATTAATTCCCTCTAGGAAATACAAAATTCTGTTCCTCTACATGAGGCAGTTTCATAAATTCCTCTACATAAGGTAGTTCCATACATTCGTTTACACGAGACAGCTTCATACATTCCTCTACATTAGGTAGTTTCAAACATTCCTCTGCACGAAGCAGTTTCATGCGTTGCTACACGAGGTAGCTTCCTACATTTCATTACACGAAAAAGCTTCATACATTCCTACAAGAGGTATTATTCTACATTCCCTCAAACGAGGTACTTTCATACATTTTCCCGTTAAAGACTGCAGATTATTATTATTTTTCCTCAGAGGTCATGAAATATCTGACTGTTATTGTGAGGATAATGTTAAAATCTGGGCGTTTTCAGCAAGATGTAAAATTGTATTAGTGTAGCAGCATGAGGGTGGAAAGTCGTCATTTGTATGCATGAGGCGCACTCTTATTATTCTCCTGCAAGAAGTTTCTGCCTTAATACTTTGCTCGAGGTGAAGAGTATTATTATTTCCTGTTGGAAGACAAGTCTTATATGCTTTCTTACACTGGAAGACGAGAAGTATCTTACGCTGTTGTTTCCCTGTCAGTGGGGAGTGTAGTGGCTACCTTAATCTGTCTGTTCATCTGTTCGTTGAGTTTTGCGTGACGTATTTAAATGTATGTTTTTTAAACAGATCTACAAAAGATCTACAAAAGACAGCAATAGATATGTAGAGTTGGGGGTTACAAGCGCTTGTTGAAATTATTATTTAAGTACCAGAGTGTTGTACTTGTCAAAGAAGAAGCCTTAAAGTAATTTTAAGGGTTTTTGTCTTCCCTCAAGCTGTGGGTCCTAAAAACATTATTAAATGTGATACCGCTTGTAACTTTTACACAAGGTGTCAGACTTTTTCAGGCTACGGGTGAACCTTCCAGAAAACACAAAATTTTCATAAAGACAGGTTTGACTTGAGGGTATAGGAGTCCCAGAGGCAATACAGACAACATTACATGTTTCCCTAGCCTTGTGTGTTGCGTCTCAATGTTTAGTTTGGGAGATTTTCCACGGAGTGTGAGAAACAATGGGGGATTAAATTTACTGAATAAGTATATCAGTGTAATAAATACTAAATCATTCTCTTCAAACCGTACAACCTCTAACAGCCTCAAACATTCCTAATGAGAAAATCCTAAGATGAAAAATATTACCATAGCAATGCTAGAGCCTCCTAGCATAGACAGCTTGTCAGATTTACCACTCGCTATCCCTCTTTCCTCCCTGACTACTCGTTTGAACCTTCAATCTACTAGCCACCTCGGACAAGGTGTAAACGGGCACCCTCAATGCAAACCTTGTGATACACCATTGCTGATAGTTTGAAGCTGCTCAGATGAGGCAGTCTCAAGTTATTCCATGAGAAGCAATATCCAGTATTGGTAAATTGTGATTTACATAGCCCCATAACACTGAACAAAATACATCACTGAAAGTTTGAAGCCGATTAAAAGAGACATCTTCCAGTTTCTGCATAGTAACCAATAATTAATTTTTAATTTTTAATTATGTTGAAAAATTGACAGATTGACATATAATCATCCTAAAAGAATGATCTCTCTTCTTCTAGGTTAGGTACTTCACCTTGGACGTGTCAAGCCGTTCCGAAGAGTCATTTTTAAGTTATCGCAAGAGAAAATTAACTTGCAATTAAAAATCATCATTTGGTAATCAGTATCTGCACAGTTCAGTGACAATCCAAACCTTCCTTGAAGTAGGATAGATGCATCTTGAAACATTGAAGAGGCAGAGGAGCTGCAACCCAACTTACCTAATAAATTTAGGAGCTATAACTCAACCCTTCCAAAAGGTCCAAAACCTGCAGATCAAGAGACCCAGGAGATTTAGCTCATTATGCACAAAAAGGCCTGGGGCTGAAAATCTGAGCAAAATACTGAAATTATTTAAGAACATAAGAAAGAAGGAACACTGCAGCAGGCCTATTGGCCCATGCGAGGCAGGTCCAAGTCTCCTACTGGCTTAAACCAATGACCCAACCTAGTCAGGTCAGGTCACATTCACTTAAGGAAGGAGTACGGCATCAGACCTAGTGTCACAAGATTGAGACACTTATGCAACATATGGGAATCTTTATTAAGAAAACGTTTCGCCACACAGTGGCTTCATCAGTCCAATACATAGCAGAGAGGGGTAAGGAGAGAAGGAGTTTGAGATAATCAGTCCCTCAGCCTGGAGTCGATGGGTTCAGTCCATCAATCTTGTAAAATGAACAGCATAGGGCCGTAGACATGGCTTATATACTGTAGTCAGGTGAGGCGAAGCAGGAGGAGGCGGGGTCATAGTGGCACCATTCACTAGTCGAAGTAGGTCTTCGTCCGAAGGTTGGACAAGTTTTGAAGAATTCTTTGTATCAAGAACCAGATGATGCAGTGTTGACATTTTGTGATGAATGGTTTGAAAAACCGAAAATTGAAGTTTGGGAACACTTATCAACATAGGAATCTTTTTTGGGGAAATGTTTCCCACACAGTGGCTTCATCAGTCCAATACAAAGCAAAATGGGTAAGGGAGGGGGAGTTTGGGGTAATCATCCCTCAGCCGGAAATCGATGGTTCATCCTCACTCTTTTAGAAACTAAAAAATTGGGGGGGGAAAGTGGTTAAATACCTTCGGACAAAAGACCTATTTACACTAGTGAATTTTTTCCACTTGTATCCCGTCTCTTACTTCGACTCCCTTCTAATTTTTAAAGCCACTTCTCCGGCCATATGCGATGGACTGAACACATCGTCCGGGTTGGGGGACGATTACCTCAAACTCTTTCTCCTTACCCCTCGCTTTGTTTGGACAAAGAACCCACTGTGTGGAAAACTTTTCCCTTAAAACGTCAAAAGTGTTCATCTTCTTTTTGTGGGTTTTCAAACCACTTATCCACATTATTATTAAAGCTAGTCATTCCAACTCACACCCCCCTCCCAAACCACACCCCCCCCCCCCAATCACACTCACCCTCACCAACTCACACTCTTACAACTTTTACCAACCATGCTTTCCTATATCCTTCCTAATCAAAAATTTTTCCCAAAAACATTGTGCGAGTCCTGTTTTGGCTGATTTTTTAACACCTATTACATTCCCTTTATTTATTCCTTTTTTCATCCCCTAATTCACCTTTCTTAAAGTGCAGATTCGGGGCCCCATCTGTCCTATAGGGAAGTTTTTCTGATACTGAATAAACCCTTTGTCACCTCCTTCGTCTTTTCCAGAGCATTTGTACCTTTCTGTATTTTCGTGAAAAAAAACGTGCAGCATAATCAATAAAGCCAAACCCAAGGGAATATGGGTTTGAAGAAAAACCCTGAGGACTTCTTTTAAATTTATCTTCTAATATGAACCAAAATTTTTCTGTTAGCTTTTTGCGCAAAAACTTATGCCTTTTGGGGCTTTTTTTAGTTTTACTGCAAACCCAGAACTCCTAATTTTTTTTTTGCAATCAGTAATTTAAGATCTCTTTATTATTTATATGTGGGGGTTATTTTCCTGTCCAGTATTTTCCTTTCCCTATTTTCTTGCCAGTTTTAAAGTAACAACTCTTTTGAATCCGCCAAGATTGATAAATTTTGAAAAAATAATATAAATGGCGAACATCTTAGGAAAAAAGAAATTAGTTTCCCCGGGGAAGGGAATCCTCATGAGGCAAATTTATTCTTCCTTAAGCAACTCCAAAAATTCCGTCCAAAACGAAAACCGCCAAAATGGACTTAGAGTTTCCAACCCCGTGAAAGTATTAAAAGGAAAAAAATTTTCTGAAGTTCCGGGGCCAAATTGTAAATTTTTATAAGAAATTTTTTTGGTTTTTTTTTTTTCCACCCTATATCCTAAAAAAGAAAAATCGAAGGGCTTTAAAAATAATTTCTTATGCATATATTTAAAAAAATTTTTATGAATTTAAGTTAGTAAAAAACAAACTTTTTAATTTTTTAACGTAGTTAAACAACTGCCTTAATTATTTTTTTGAACGTAAGGGAGAATGCTTTTTCTGACACTTTCAAACTTAAAGTTTCGTCCCAAAACTGGCCTTAAACCCTCATTC